GTTGCTGCTGTTATTGATGATGCTGATGATGATGGTGCTGGTGATGATGATGATGACTGTCATGAAGACGTCAATGACGATGATAACGGTGATGCTGATGGTGATGATGATGGTGTTGCGGGTGATGATGATGCTGCTCATGATGGTTGATGATGATGGGGATGGTGGTGATGATAATGATACTGATGACGAGGATGATGATGATGATGAGGAGGAGGAGGAGGAGTGAGGTAGGAGGATGAGACAGCGAATGATTGCGTGTCGAGATGCAGAAGTCGAGAAAGAGGACACGCACGTTGTTGATGATAGCAGGCTAGGGATTGGCCGACCCGACCCTACGTAACCCGAAACCTTAGGTTCCAGACCTTTGTGTCTGGCTGCAGCAGCCCCCTGCATGCAGCTACAAACGCTGCCCATGGGCTGCAAAGAGAGGGCAGAGGCACGCGCATGCAAATGCGCGTGCACTCACTTCCCCTGAGCCTCGAAGCCCCGAAGGGTGCGGCAACAGGGGTGCCTGATACGCGTGCGACAAACGCGAACGCCGTGCCGCACGCGCAAACAAGACAAAACGCATCACATGTGGGACTGGTGGCCCACCACATTGAGCCAGGTCCGCCCAAGAGGGACCTGCAACGGTGGCTGGCCGACGTCATCCTGGTCAGCTTGAGCTGCGAGGGCTTCGCTCACGAGCTGGGTCAGGGGGATGGGATGCAGACTCATCACGATTGGGCTATGGGCGGCACCCTTGGGGTGTCGGCCAGACCTGACACGCTGTAGCTGCAGCTTGGCTCCATTGTGAGGACGTGTCCTGCTCTACTGGCTTTGCAGTACAGTCCACGTGAGCTGCCCTGCCTAAACGAACCACAGAGATGACACACCAGAATACCCGTGGGCTGCTCTAGGTGATCATAGTAGAACAGGTCATGCCCCTTGGGGTTAGCAACTAGGTCTGACATCTGAGCACAGTGTCCAGGACAGTCCATGGAACTCATTCATTCCTCGTCGGCTTTTTCGGAGCGAGCATGGATGCGACAGCCCGTGCATCGGCGCTGGCCAATTTGACAGAAGAGACCACACGGGACCTCGGGGACACGAGGGGCCGTTGGAGGAGGCGGAAGGGGAGGGGGAGGCACAGGGACAGGGGCCTCAGGGTCCCAAGAGGCCAAGGCCGAGGCGGCCCCAGCGGGAGGGGAGAGGCTTTTTACAGGCTTGGCCAGCGCCTTTTTTCATACGCGGAGCCATTGCTGGCCACTCTCCGAGGGCGTCAGCAGCACATCGAAGGTACTTCTTAAGCAGAGTAGTGTCGTTCAGATACTGCTCTGCTTCAGCGAGGCTGGGTTGGCTGCCAAGGCTCGCGGCGGCCTTGGCAGCCCTGTCAGCGGCATCATTGCTGCTAGCAGGCCTAATTTCTTCGCTTTCAGGGCGCCAGGGATTCAGTATTCTGGTGAGCTTCAGCCTGATTCGTGAGCAGGGGGCCCAGTCGGCAACCGCCTCCTCCAGCAAGCACTTGGAGCCGCGCCCACCGGTTGCGTCTTGGGTGCTCCTCACCGCCGTGCAGCTGGGGTACCCCTTTTATAAGTCGGAGTGAAGGTTCTCTCCAGCTTGGTGGACAGGCGGACTGCCGCAACAGCGGCCAGATGCTCAGCAGCTCCCGACGTCTGCGATGCCAGGCTGCCGACACGTCCGCTGTACATGGCAAACTCTTCTCCATCACGCGTGCAGGCCACAGCAAACCCAGCAGCGCTAAGAATGTGGTGGCCATGGCTAGTGCAACCACCGTTGATAGACGCATCTCCCCGAAAGGCTTCCTCAGGCCATATATCTGGTTGCTTACACCAAAATCGGGCCGTCGACCAACCTGTGCCGGGCGGGTTCCCTCACAAAGTTAGGGGCAAACTGGAAACCAAGGTGGAGGGGAGACGTATCATCAATGGGCTCTTTTAGCCTAAGAGGCTCCCCGCTGATGAACCCGTCTTGTCGGGCGTTCTCGGTCTTCGGACATTCGAGGAGGCGATGCTCGAGGTCATCTTTATTGTGTCCGCATGGGCATCCCTGGGGTACGTCATATCCTGCTGACTGTGCTCTCTCCACTGTCCAGATACTCTGGGTGACGAAAGCTACTAACGTGCCACGCTGCTGCTTGGACAAATCTGGCGAGCTGAGCACAGAGCGAACAGCGGAGACCTGGAGCATCACAGCTGTGTGGCAGCACGCTCAACTAGCTGATCGTGCCAAGCGACCTTGAGAAGTTTGGCCTCAAAAGCGGGGGAGGTTCCTGGGAGAGGGTACACACGTCCGGTTGGCGCCATAAACTTGAGCGGCCCCAAGGGGGCCCTTACACGGACCCCAAGATTCGGGGACCATTGGCAAAACCGTTACCCCCCAAAGCCGAAGCTGCTGCGATCTGACCTCGGTCGGGGTGGGGCGGGTGGAAGCCTCCCAAACAAGACGATGCCACGTGAGGGCTGGGGCCGAGACCAGCCTTCCAAAGGGGGCCCTGGAGGGCGAGGAGGACGAGGGTGCGGCTCCGCGAGGCACGCCTTGGGACTGCAGCAGGGAAGGGACCGGGTCCTGGCCTGCTCCAGCATCGTACCGCTGATGCCGGTGACCTCGACTCCGAAGGTGGTTGCTGCAGCAAGGCCTGTATTGCGCAGCTTTTTCTCCGTTGCCCCCGGCATGCTCGATCATCCTGATGCGGAGCATGTGTATCTGGATTCTCTGGAGGCGTTGGGAGAGTTTCCTGCTTGTCCTCCATCTTTTCTGGGGTTTGCCCGCTCCGCTCTCGATCCCACGGTTCGGTCCAGAGACGTCCCGGAAAGGATCCGCAAGGGCGCCAAGGGTTTTGCGGAGCTTCATCTGGAGAATTTGGCTGGAGGTT